TTCACCCTGTGACACGAAGCTGCTCATACGAACTCCATTAAGGTCTCTCTCTTTCTTTTTAAAACTATTTTGAAGTATACATAATCTTCACTTAAGGACAGAATGTTCAGAGCGTAACTAAACACAGAAAATAAACATTAATCTTAATTCTTTAAAATATATTTTTTAAGCTTGAGTGACTGGAATCACAAAGAAAAAAAATATAGAAAAACGAGGCGATGTTACACTGAACACAATGTTAGATTCGTGACAGTTTACCCTGTGGTGTGGGAGTTTGACTCCTATAGTAAGGTATCCCGCTTAGATTAATATTCCTGTAGTACAGAACTCATGTACATTAACATTCTCTCCCATTCCTCTTTGTTCATAATCATGTATTTTCCCGTTTCTAGTAATTGCTTTTTATTTTTGCATTGCATGAAGTGTATAATATTGCTGTCTCTTCACTATAATGCAGGGAAAAGTCCCTCCACTGGACCCTATCTTTAGCCAGATTAGTCAGATCCATGCCACCGAATTTTTATTTCTCTATGGTCTATTTAATACTATCCTCCCGCCTGCTTCTAGGTCTTCCTAATACGATGAAACTATATTTTTTTAATTTTCTTAATTTTCAACTTCCCAAAATATTGTGACTTATGGGCAACGACTCGATAAACACTCTCCTGGGAACCAACGCGAGCAACAGTAGGGTGTCTGTTACTAGGTACCGGATAAGTAAACATGCCTAAAACAATACGGGACAATAGAGGACGGTGTTTACCGTGGGGTCCGCCCCGAGGCTATGTAGCGAAAAGTTCTAGGGGAGCAGGTGTCAAGAATTGGGTCTAGTTCTGGAGATGGCAGTCTAAGGTGATTGAAAAGAAATGTCAAGAAGGGAATTATACTGTGACAAGAAGACTTCACGTGTGATTTGAAGTTATAGTGAGGCTCTTATAAATCCGTTGCCAGGATACGACTAGTGAAGATTGAGAATCCTAGTGCGTGTGTAACGGTGAAATGCAAAGAGTGTAGATCAGCGATACCGCTATATTGCCTGCAGTCCCGAGTTGAATATATAAGGTGTTAATAAATCCAATCATATAAATCATATACCCCGTCTTATAAGTGACGCGCACCTCCTACACGTAACAGTATATTTTACATACATGACTTTTCGGTAGATATATGTACTCCTACTTTCGTGTGATCACTTTTTATCCTGATAATGACAGTTTAAATATAGAAAATTACTGTTTACTGTGAGGTGTTACCATATAGTCTGGTAGAGCTTCACTGATGTTATGAAGGTATAGGCAGTACCTTATTCAGAGACGGAGATAGATTTCTACCAGATTTCAAAACGTAATATCATAGACGACCGTAATCTTATCCATTGCTTTGGGAACCTAACAGATTAATTAATTTCACTCACGTTAATCTATTGCGTGTACCAATACCAGCTGAGTCTGATGTATTATGATATTAATCGCAGCTAAGATATTGTACTCGGAATTGTATTTCACGGTGATTGGTGATAGCGGCAGCAGCTTTCACTTCTATGCGCAGTTCCAATAAATCTTCATTTGATAAAATTGTTAAAATGGGGGAAGAGTGAAATGAAATTTGCAATTTATGCAACCGCTGATTCAATTAGAAATATCAATTATTTGTTTACAAAGTCTATCACAGAACTTCACGCACGCACACACACACGCACACACACACACACACACCTGTCTCTTTTTCACCTACTGAAAATGTCAATAGGGGAATTGGAAAACTAATTAACTTTGATGTAGAAAATTGAAAACACAACCATTTTAACCCCATCGCTTTTGTGATTTAGCTGCTGCTATGACTGTCGAGTATTTAACAAAAATTTGTAGAGAGATTGTCACACGATCACACTTTTGAAAATGAAAGTATTCTTCTTCAGGCTGAAATAACATGCAGTCACTTGTTTGGAGTTATAAGGAGTTTCAGTTGATAATTGGGTTTATTGAACACTTGCAGATCGTAACTACAAGTAACTACCATCGACAATACACACGTCATAAAACGCTATAGGACACACTACGTCTTCTCGTTCTGTTATAGTCATCATTAGCCGTTGCTTGATAGCGGTTTTCAACAATGGATGTCCTCCTTCCTCTGCGTTACTTAGTAACGGCTCTTACACATTTGCTTTAATATAAATTTGTAGAGAGATTGTCACAGGTTCACACTTTTGAAAATGAAAGTATTCTTCTTCAGGCTGAAATAACATGCAGTCACTTGTTTGGAGTTATAAGGAGTTTCAGTTGATAATTGGGTTTATTGAACACTTGCAGATCGTAACTACAAGTAACTACCATCGACAATACACACGTCATAAAACGCTATAGGACACACTACGTCTTCTCGTTCTGTTATAGTCATCATTAGCCGTTGCTTGATAGCGGTTTTCAACAATGGATGTCCTCCTTCCTCTGCGTTACTTAGTAACGGCTCTTACACATTTGCTTTAACAAAAATTTGTAGAGAGATTGTCACAGGTTCACACTTTTGAAAATGAAAGTATTCTTCTTCAGGCTGAAATAACATGCAGTCACTTGTTTGGAGTTATAAGGAGTTTCAGTTGATAATTGGGTTTATTGAACACTTGCAGATCGTAACTACAAGTAACTATAGCGCCATCGACAATACACACTTCATAAAACACTATAGGACACACTACGTCTTCTCGTTCTGTTATAGTCATCATTAGCCGTTGCTTGATAGCGGTTTTCAACAATGGATGTCCTCCTTCCTCTGCGTTACTTAGTAACGGCTCTTACACATTTGCTTGTTTCGCCGTCTTTACCTAGCAGTGGGCACACATGCCACACTACAGAGGATAATTCTTAATTATTACAGTAAATGGCTCCAAATTAAAATAGAATTAATTTTCATCGAATTACTACATCGTACTATTGTTTGGACTGAGGGTATTTAAGATTAGGCTGCTGCAGAGAATATATGAACATAAGCGAAAGAAAGTAAGAAGATACTTGGAGAAAATTACATAATGAGGAGCTTGAGCTGAGGAGACGTTGATATATAAATGTCTGCTGCAGTGCTGGGAACTTCAAATGGTAATGTTCTGTGAAGTTTAGGATCAGAGACCCATGTTACAGTCTTCTGCGATTTAATGTAAACAGATTTCCATGGAAACGGACAGGACATTCCAAGAGCACGAGGGAACAGAATTGTCTGAACTCCATGAAACCGATTTCAGTGCAACAGAAGGAAAGGACGAGGTCCTAAGGGAATAACAGCAAATGCAGTAGTTGGAGGACACGGTGCTGAGGGGAATGTTTGTATCCGTCTACAAATCGGAAGGCCACGGGTTCGATTCCCGATGGGTTCATTACATTTATTTTCAATTTACCTTACCCTTCCTGCCGCACTATGGCAATGGGTTCGACTTAGCCTCTAACAGAAATGAGTACCAGGAATCTTCCTGGTGATAAAGCCCGGCTGGTATGTAAAGCTGAGAACCTCACCGCCGTCTATGAGCCGATTTTCTACACAAACATGGGAACGTCGACGTCTCACAACCCTATGGGCCCTTCTACAATGCAGCTATTTCTTTTTACCTTTCTTTGAAGTAAAGCTACCCCTGTAACAGACCGTGGGGGTCCATAGGGTTGTGAGACGTCGAGGCTCCCATATCTTCTAGATAATCGGCTCACAGATGGCGGTAAGTTTGTCACCCTTACTTTCCGGCCGTCCTTTACCACCAAGGAAGATTCCTGGTACTCATTCTGTTAGAGGCTGGGTCGACCCCAGGGTCATAGTTCGGCTGGAAGGATTAGGTAAATAGAAAAACAAAATCCAATGACCTCATCGGAAATCGAACCTGCGATATTCCCGCTTGTAACATAGTGCCTCAACCAACTACGCTACCGCGTGCCCCACCTTTCTTTAAGATTGAAAGGAAAGCAGTAGGCTGGATAGATATTGAACTTCCTTCTGTTTAAGTCCAAATTGAGTCTATGTTCGTGACTTCTGATATTCTGTCGATACAGATTCTTCCACCAATGCTTTAAACGTTTTGTCATTAACCTGTAGGCTCTTTTTTAATTTCTGCAAAATAAAATGAAACCTGTTGTAGACTATAGTTAAAAACAATACGTGTCCATAATCCACAGTGTTGTGAACGACAAAATCTCTTGCCCAACAGGTATTGGAACAGAAATCCCTCATAGTCCTGAGGGAATATTCGACCATTAAGCCATCCCACCGTACTCTACATAGTTGCCAAATTTTCATTCTCACAGTTATAATCTCTGATTGGGGAAGATTGTCAGAGGGGAATTTAAGTTTCTAGATACCTGACAATATTAAATTTAAGCCCCAGATTTCAATAAAATATTGGTCGGCTACGTGGAAACAATTGCCTGCAATTCAGTGATGGTATATCGTACTGCAGATAATTTTGGTTAAGATTGAAAACGGGTGGATCTACAATCTCACCCATCACATTCCTCCCCTTTCTTACTTACTTACTCCTTGGCTGTAAGTTCTCAAAGAACCTTGGCATCTAGTACGATAAAACACACATCTCTCTGTTTTTCTTTTTGTCTCGATCTCTTCGATTTCAGTACTCGTAAATCATTCTTTGCATCATGAAGTGACCTCTGTCTGGGTCTTCCCGCATTCCTTACATTTTCCAACTTACTTAAAAAAATGTTCTTGCACTTGTTTGATCCATTCTAATCACATGCCCAAATAACCACAAACTTCGCCTTTTTTAACTTCCGCTACTAGAACAAGGGTTTTATGTAATTACCCCCCCCCCTTTCCTTCCCCCACTGAATTATGGTTTCAACAAATGTCACACAATGTCAAGCATTGAAATTTCTGCATTGGTTGGAATTTTCAGCGTTTGGCTCTTGTAGGATTAAATAGTAAACTTGAGTATCAATTAACAACCTCTGTATTTCTGTTCATCGCCTCATTAATAAAATTCCATTCCTTGTTTATTCTCTGTGCAGGTGCGATGGAGGTGCGACTGAAACCGTGGTGTGTTGGTGTGCTGGTGTGTTTGTTCTTCTCTGCTCTCGGTGTGGGTTTAGGCGTGCCTCTAGCGTTGAGTGCTGCGGGCCCATCTACACATCAGGAGCGCTTGGAAGCGGTGAGGCGCATACTTAGGGACGTCCCCCTCATTGACGGGTGAGCGACTTTGATAGATCGATATTAATCGATGGCTCGTTAATTTCCTCTGTGCTATAATGCAGACAGTTATACGTGCATTTCCATTGACTGTTCTGTGGCCCTGGGCATGCAAGGGAGAACCGATTATTTGTGTGTTGAGCTCTGCATTTAGTTACAGGGGGAACTGATCCTTATATCGGTACGATAAGATTATCTCTGACAGTCGAAATGCTCTGTGACATGGTGTTACGCAGACCGCATGTGTTTCAGGGGTTATAATATTATCCTTGGCCTTATCTAATGAGCACAAACCTATAATGCAACTACTAACGTTTTCTAAACTCTCTGACATTCTGAAGCTCGTAGCAGATATTTTTATTTATTTGTGGTTTACTTAATGATACTGATAGTAGCTCAGGTTATGTAGTGTCGGACAGTAAGATGTTAATGAATAATGAATTGAAAAGAATATAAAAATATTTATGGCCTATTTAAGGTTTATACCTGGATTCGCCTGTGTGGAGCAAGGAAAAATAAGGGAAACTTCTGTCGGGATGAGCAGTGACCCAACCGACATTCGAACCGAGAATTTCCCGAACAGAAAGCAGTTTCCAAGTTTCTCATTGAAATTGTCAGATATTTTATATGGAATTTGTAATGACAGCTACCGATATCTTTTTGCTTTATAGCCTTAGTATGAACTTCATCATGATGATTGTCATCGTCTTGACAGGACGTTGCTGTCATCTGGGTAGCACTTCTGGTTCTTATTCAGTAGGTCCTGGGTTGATATCTGAGTATGTCGACCCACTGTCTTGGGAATTTTTCTGATTTTACTCAGTTCCTCCAGGAAAATTCTGGGATTTTATATAAAGTTAGGCCACGACCGCTTCCTTATACATTCTTTCCAGTTAATTTCCGAATAATCATCCTATTTAAACTGATTTATTGATAACGTCGTTAAATAGATAACAAAAGTACATAAGCATGAACATTTGGGGGTTACGCCGATAAGGCGTGTTGCTATGAATCTGAAGATGATCTTAGATTCTCCATTGCTGTTTTGGTTTTCCTAATTGTCATCCTCTTGGTCAGTAAAGGAATGTCAATTGCGGAAAGCGGCCTCTGTTCTTTCCAAATAACTTTTCCAATTCTGTTCGTATTACTGTTACTGTGTATTTATTATATTGAATTTAAGGATCCCACAGGACCTGCGGGGATGCGTCGTCAAGTAGATCGATAAAAGTTAATCGACGTTTCGGAGGAACGTATAGCTTCCAACTTCTTGGTCGTTGAGTAAGTCTTGTAAGAAACAGAATTGACGTGAGCCATTCTTCTTGTTTGTCTTGCTCTCCGTGCATGAAAATGAAAGCTGTATATTCCTCCGAAACGTCGGTGAACTGCAAGATTATACAGCGTTAAGTTCTGCAAGATAATACTCTTCTCATATTTTTGAGTTTTGAAAGAATAGCTGTGAAGTTTTATTTTCTGTTCTAAGAAGACCGCTTGCAGAAATGGTCTCTTAGAAGTATATTATTAAAAATATATTTAAAGAAATAATTCACTGTGGAGAACGTCAGCAGATATAACGATCCATCAGCCAAATACGTGTCAAATATCATAGCTATAGAGCTTGTAAAATGCGTCTAAATTTGGTAAAATTAACACGTTTGGAGGATAGAGTTTAAATTCTCTCCTCTGAGGTAACTAACGACGTAGGATTTCAGGAAATCTACTGTAATGTCCACTTGGTGATGCGTTAGACAAAACAAAATCAATTTTCTCATCGGTTGCTGTGTGTGTTTAGATTAAGCTGTAATCCTTCTGGATCATTAGGAATGTTTTAGGTAAATTAGGTGGAAAACTGTTAACTATTATAATTTTATTACATTTGGTGTTAAGTCAATTACCGAAGTGTGTGGAGTGTTATTGAACTGTCACATGAAATTACAGCCACTCCAACATGAAATCCACAAAGAGGTTGCAGTAAACAACCCTCTGATAGTGCCTCCCCAAGGGTTGGACATTATTAAATGACCCATATAGTTGTTAGAATTCCAGATATTTTATATGGTGACTGTACAAGTGAATCCTATTCTGGCTTACAGATCCTAGTCAGAATTATTAAACCACTTTCACTGCCTTATAATGAAGCTAGGAATGCGTAGCCAAATTTCACTTTCCTATGAACAACGTCCGTAAGATAATTCGGCTTTAAATCAGTAGCAGTATCATACGCAAGCCGAGCATCATACTCTGCGGCCAACGTGCATGCAAGCGGTAACTGTCAAGTGTCGCCTCTGGCGGCATTGCCGCGAACTCGTTGCATCTAACAAGGAGCGGAGGTTACATTACTCTTTCGATTTCTTATATACGAAGTACATATGAGCAAATATTTTGATTGTAAAGAGAACGATCTCGAGGTGTTGAATGTAGATGCTCTATGCCCCCATTATTACGAAAAGTAGGTTTCAGTACGCCATCTCTCTGTCTTTATGTGTAGATGGGTGGATGGATGAGCGTCTTAAGGGCGCCTGAACGGTTGGTGGACGTTGTTAATTTTCGGTACTCGTTAGTTTATTGTTGAATTCAGGACATAAAAGTATTTTAGTGTTGTATGCAGTATTTTTTCTTATAAAACAAACTCTGTCATAAATATCTAACTGTAATGACTTGAGAACTTCTGGAAAAAGGATTAATTTACGGCTACATGCCGAACTTAATATGCAATAAGGGAGTGCCTAGGGAGACTGTGGAAAGCTGCAAGGAGCCGGGGTTGCATCTTTAGAATACAAGTGTAGAGACTTACCGCTACACCAACATGCTCTACATTCTATTTAATTTATGTTGCATAATTTAATATAATTATATCATGACATGTAGATCCATTGCTAGGGAACGGGTTGACAAACACGTTTCCATGGAGATGAATTCTTCGAAACCAACACGTCGCTGTGTGATAGACGTTTCCTTGGATACCGATACGCTATATGAGACGTCTCTCGGATCAGAACGAGACGAGTTCGAATACCTCCACCGTGACCATGCGAGTCAAGGGAAGTCGCGGATGTGAGACAGTAAAATATGGTCAGGATTCCCACGGGATTAGGACCGAGAATGACTGCACTAGCGAGGACCAGTAACAGTTGCAAACGACAGACCCGTCCTCTCGTCAGAGAGAACGTCCCACATCAACAAACCCGCAGCTATCTGACAGTAATAAGAATCTGGTCGTATGTACCAGATGGGTGCTTTATTCCAAGATAGACTGGCTGACTGACCGTCGGTCGTAAGATAAGACTCACTCAGAATGAAGTCAGTCGTAGTTCAGAGCAGAACAGAGGGACCAAAATTGAGCCAGTCGTAAGCAGGCATTTATTGTGATTACGAGTGAGTGTACAAATAAATCTAATCATCGAAACCAAAACCCGTAATTATTAGTCACGCAGCCCTACGCACGTGAGAATGTTTTACACAAATTCAGAATATCATTGTTGCTGAGAAATGTCCATAGAGTAACTATTTGTTGAACATCCTGTAAGATACACAGTGTATGTTGTGTGTAATGTGTTAATAGCCTTTACAAGCAGATCGATAACAAGGGTTTATGTTGGCTATGGGAAACACTAACATTCCATCTGCCCCCCGCTGTTACTAACGCCATCTGCACTCGGCTCAGTGTCCAAGGAAACATTTCAGTATTTAGGCCGCACAAAACGTTGGAAGGCTCGTATTTCCGTAATATTGCAGTTCATCTGACTCCGAAGTTTGTAGATTCCCTACTTCCGGTAAGCAACAAGAACAACAAAGCCACGGTAGCCCAACACAAAATTAACAGAACCAGTTACTTCTGATATTCTCATTCGAAGGTAAAGAGGTAAAGCTATCCCTGTAACAGGCCGTGGAGCCCCATAAGGTTGTGAGACGTCGTGGCTCCCACATTTTCTAGAAAATCGGCTCACGGATGGCGGTGAATTAAACGCTGCTTGCCGTTCTTACCCCTTAGGAAGTTTTCTGATACTCATTTCAGGGGCTGAGTCAACCGCGGGGCTGTAGTGAGGTTAGAAGGTCAGTTAAAATATATCAAATGAACTCATCGGGACTCGAACTCGCGACCTTCCGGCACGTAGCATAGTACCTCAACCAACTACGCCAGTGCATGCTTTCATTGTGATTGTAAGACTGGACAGAAACATTTTGCGTCATCTTGCATTTTAGCCTATTTTCATTATTTAAAAAATAAAATGTTGCTTATGAGATCGCCTTGCTGTCTGTTTATACGCTTGTGTCTGTCCATCTGTCTGTGCGTTCCCTATGATTTTTAGGCTTATGAGGCATATGAGATGGCCTTGCTGTCTGTCCACATATCTGTGTTCCACCATATTTTTTTCTGTTTTCTTTGCGGTCCGTGTCATATCAAAGGAAGGTGGATTATTTTTTCCAGAACTTTTTGTTTTTGTAATACATATTTTGAGCCAAAAACAGCCCCTTTTTTCGCTCATATTTTTACAACTATTTTGTACTTTTGCAGGGTTTTGTTTTTGTATTCAAGCTTGAACCAAAACAATGCTGTTATTCGAGTTATGTTTCTAAGGTTTGAATTTTGTATTTTTGCATTGTTTTACACGGAATTATAAGTCAAATTTGAATGCTCCTTCAGTTCTGTATATTTTTTTTTATTGCTAGCGGGTTGGGACTAAGTTCCTTGTACTGCGGCCACATCTGGCTTATTATATTGATTGTGGAGCAATTGGTGGACTGAAGATTGGCAAGGGAAACCGAAGTACTCGGAGAGAACGTGCCCCAGCGCCATTTTGTCCACCACAAATCCCACTTGACCAGACCGTGAATCGAACCCGGGCCGCCGCGGTGGGAAGCCAGCGACTAACCGCTTGAGCTATCGCGCGGCCGCTGTATATTTTTTTTTTCGTGTTTGAATTTTTTCGTGGTGTTCGTATAATCTATCGTCCAGCGTAATAAGAGAGTATAACGTTTCATTAGTGAGTACAAGTTTATTT